CACGTGTCTAAGGTGTGTGCTCTGTGAGAAAAAACTCAGGAGCTCAAAAAAACTGTATGTGGTGGGTAGGGATATATGAGTCCAAGTGGCAAAATGCTCCCACACTCTCCTCACAATCTCACTCTCTAGAAAAAGGTGGGTAAAGGTCTCAGTCTCATGGCGTCCAGTCTCAGAACAACACACACACCGAGAGGGGAAGGAGATCCCCTTCGCGTGTAGCACAGTATCGACGGGTATCCGGCGCAAGAGAAGGCGCCAAAGGAATATCGAAATGGTAGGCGTAAAAAGGTCACTCCAGATAGCCCCGAAGAGGAGATTAGGCCGATCCCTCAGCCTTCGAGCGGCTCTTTCTTGGGACAAAGACACTGTTAGGGTAAGATCACCACATTATAAATAGAAGGAAAAAAGTATGATTAACTTCTTCTGTCAACCGACTTAATGATATTACTTTCAATCAACATCTTCTTTCAAATCTTATACTAACTTGACCGTCGGAGTGCTAATGCCAGGAAAACTCTCGGCCCCCTTTTGCAGGCTATTGGCTCAAACGTTGGCAGCTCAATCTCAAGCAATCCAGTTATTAGGTCCAACCGAAGATTTTGGAAGGTCCAGTCAACTTAAACTGGGGTTATTTGATAAAGACTATCAAAGTGGCGTCGTCTGTGAGGAATTCCAGTTCTACCAGGATTGAATTATGCTGCACCAGATTACTAAGGGGAGCAAAAGCAGATGCAGGGAGAAAGAGGTAACGATGGATTGTTAAAAATACGGCTCTGGGGGTCAGGGCCGCCTGTGGGGTGGCTCGACAACGAAGAATCGCCAAGGAGACTCAACGCCCCCATGAAGGTCAACCAAGGCCCTTGTTTGAGCTAGAGAACCCACCCCATCACACCCTTGGGTCGCCGTTGCAGCTTGAGATCGCTGAGGGAAGTGGGGGAACTCTAGGTCAAGCTCGGGACGGTGCACCAGTCGCTGAAGGTGGTCAAGCTAAGGCTGCAGAAGAGCCGCTCATCCAGGTTACGCAAGTCGAACTTGAGAAGATGATCGCTGAAGCAGTAGTTGTGTGCATCCAACTGACACCGGTAGCACCTGAGGCTACAAGAGCAGAGGGGTACACTGAGGCGGGATGAAAAGTCGGAGCATTCAATTAACCAGCGCCATCACAAACTTGTAAAAGCAAGTTCAAGTAACAACTAAAAAAACTTATGAGATCTTGGACCTTAAACTAAGTCTCTAGTAGCATCCACGAGAAGAAATAAGCTGGAAATGTGCATTCTTGAAGAAGAAAGAAAATAGAGAGAGGGAGAGAGAAAAAAAAAAACTAAGAAGAGAAATTTTACAAATGAGGAAATATTCCCAAAATACAAAAGACCACGTCTATTTATAGTTCCAGCCAAAACACACACTAAAGCACATACATTTACTAAGAAACACTTGCATGTGGGTGAAATGGTTCCCTGGCACTTGCGAGTGGGTGAGCTACTTCGCTGGTCGCGGACTGGCATGGCACATGACTCACGAGAACGCGGGCTCGTTGAGCGAACGGACGACGTCGAGACACTCGTGAGAAGCTTCGTTCGGCGGACTGGCAACGTCGAGACACTCATGACCGGGTGGGAAGCTTCGTTGAGTGGACTTGCATGACGAGGCACTAGCGAGCTGGGTTCACTAGGTAAGGATAGCATTCGCGACTCGGCGAGTGCGTTCGCTGGTCGAAAATATACAGTGACCTAGACAGGGCTCGCGCGGTAGACATGCGCGACGACTGAGCGAGGCTCTTCGGCGATGTCGCAGGAGATTTATGTGATGCATCCCAGAGGCAGCGCATGCGAGTTGTGCAGTTCTCGCGTGGTAATCACGCACGACACCTGGGCAAGGCTCCTCGGCGATGGCGCGGGCAAGCTATGCGGGCACGGGTCTGGTCGACGAGCGATGTGCTGCTGGCATATAGCTCGCCTAGGCGCACAAGGGCAGCACTCGGTGTTGAACTGCGGGTCCACCGAGCACTGATCGGGTCATCTAGCCAGGAACTTTCCTACAATTTTTTCGGCAATTTTTCGTCAAGTTTCCTCACACTTTTTCAGCAGATTTTTCGATGATTTTTTGGCGACACCTAGTCATCTTAAAACACATTTTCCTACAAGGTATAATATAAAAAGAGAAATAAAGAAGCACAAGACACCAAAACGATAAGAAAATATAAAAATGAGCAAAAATGACTAAATTGATAGGGAAAAACTTAAAATAAACTAAACGGGCACAAATAAGACACTTAAGGAGCCACCTCCCAACCTATCGACTCTAAAGAAGGCGACCCAACAAGTGCATCAATCATCTCATCAACAGAGTTCGAATTTGAGCCAGACAAATCTAAAATGCAGCCCAAAATAAAATATATGAATAAGACGACCCGAAAAACCCTAAAACAAAAACAAGACCTTAAACAACAATCTGCAAAAACAAAAAAAAAAAATGTGTTAGCCTAATAAATGTATATATGAGACTCACCCATATTCATAGTGTCGAGAGAAGAATCTCAAGAGGAGAAGACTGTCAAAATTGGGTTGGGGAAGAAGTAGACCGCCAGAAATCTCTGTTCTAGAAGTCGGCCTAGGCGCTAGGCGGTGCTCGGCCGCCTTCGATTTGCATAAATCGGCTGAAAAAATCAGTCAGACGGCTAGGCGGAGCCTATGCGGGTCTAGATGGACCTAGGCGCTTTTAGGCGGGCTTGGTGGCGCCTAGGCGGGCTCGGCGGAAATTTTTCAATTTTTTTTATTTTTTTAAATACTAATTAAATTATTTCGTTATCATGTTTTCTTTATAATATACTATATTATTATTTGGACTTAGGAGTGTTGATTTATTATAAGTTGAGATAGTTTTATTTTGTAGGTAGTGAAAATAAATAAAAAATAATGTATTTAATCTTGATTTCTTGGCCCCGCCTAAGCGCCGACTAGGCCCCACCTAGGCGCCCTAGGCACTAGGCAGTGGTCGAGCACCTAGCGACTTCTAGAATACTGTCGGAAATGCAAGAGGAGAAAACGGCCAAAATTGCTCAGATGGGGAAAAATTAGATCGCCAGAATCGCAAGAGGAGAAGACCGCCATAATCGTCAGATGGGGAAGAGCGAGACTGTCAGAATTTCAAGAGGAGAAGAACGCCAAAATTTTCGGGTTCTGGAAGAGCAGATCAACGATTGCAGGAGTTTTAGGAGCCAAAAAAGAAAATTCTAGAGGAAACAGGGAAAAATTCTTATATATCCACTCTAGTTGATTATGAATCGTTAGACAAGGCACTGATCAAAGGCCTAGATCACATGAGTCCAATCAGTTACACGGTGTGCGAGGCACCTTTTTCATACCCCCAAGGCGTCCTTTCACATCCGCATTTAATGCATCTAACAACCCTTTCATATCCGACAAGACAAGATGTCATTCTGGCTGACCGTACTTTTTAGCGAGTTATGAGTCGAGCTCGCACAATGTAGGTCTCATGGGGAGGAGGGAATAAGTGATATAGATAAGAGTGTAGCTCGATGAGCACGATTCGACCAAGCCGACTCAACAGGCCCGCTAGGTCAACTGTAGGAATTAGACCGGGTCGGTTCAACGGAATATCAGTCGACCCAAACGACCTATGCCTTAAAACCCTACCTAAATATCGAGCCAAACAACCTAAATACTATAGGTGTTATTTGAGCAGCTAAAAGAATCAAGCAAGCTTCATAGATCTTATAAGGTACATTGACCTGAATTCAGAATATCTAAAAGATATTAGCGAGTGTGAACGCATCAAGATAATCCTAGTCACTAGGATAAGGACGAATCTCAGACAGTTTATTTGGGAAGCCAACTGTCCCTTTTCAGGCAAACTGTTAGGGTAGTCCGTTATACTTTCTGGCAGCCCTTTCTTGGGCACTAAAACACTATTAGGATAAGATCACCACATTATAAATAGGAGAAAAAATATATGATAAACCTCCTCTGCTTTTTCATTTAATATTTAAAATTACTTTCAATCAATCCGAATCAATCCCTCTTTTGCACGCTATTGGCTCAAACGTGGACAACTCAATCTCAGGCAATCGTGTAACTAGGTCCAATCGGAGTTTTTGGAAGGTTCATCAGCTTAAACCGGGTTATTTGATAAGCATTATCAAATACTCCCTCTGTTTCTTTTTAGACATCGTTGTAGGATGTCAACTTTTTTGCAAATTAGTTGTCGTTGGAAATATTATATTAATTCTTACAACTTTATTCTCTTTAACAATCTTTATCTCTTATCATTATCTTTAAAAACCACTTATTAATAATTCAAAAACTAAATTTAATAAGATTAAAATATAAGATTATTACACAACCCATTAAAATCGTAATTTAGAAATTTTAAATTAAAATGACATATAAAAAGAAACAGAGGGAGTATTAAATTTGAAACGACAATTAAAAGTAAACGGGATTTGTTAGGAAATGTAAACTGCTCAAATTAATTTCCCCATATCTGCGAAGTAATTGCTGAAAATTGTAAGTTTTTCAAAATTTTTATTTTATCGATTGAATATATTGTACAACACACAAAACGGATAACACATATATATTTTTTTAATCTATAAGTTATGAACTCAGTTTACAATCAAGAATGGAAAAGTCCATAATTGGAGCAACGAATTTAGATTATTTATTTTACTTTAAAAATGTCCAAGAAATAAAGAAAGGCTCGGGTACAAATGTGAAGCTGTTAAACAAAATAACCCGTTCGTGAGCTCGGCTCATTTGATAAGCGAGCGGAGTTCGAGCTCGTTTATTTAACGAGTTAGGCTCAGCATGATTCGAAAAGATGAATTTTTATATAATGTTTTAAAGTTCAGATCGCTGATAAACGAACTAATTAACTCGGGTTCAATTATCTGCTCATTAAGTTAACGAGTTGAACAAAGTTATATGTATCCCTAGGTACAAGGGTGGCAATGGACCATAAGTTTTGAACATGGACCTAAAGATGACTGACACAATCCATAGGCCCAGTTTCCCCTTAGCACAAGGCCCATCTAGTTCGATGCAACTTGAATTGTCTTATTAAAGCACGGAGTGCATGTTCAACTAATTTAGATTTTTATTTTTTTTATCTGCTTATCATTTACAGAGTTTACCATATCTTGTTACATATTTAATTATTCTTTACTTATCAGTTTATATATTATTCAACTGAAAAATAGATAATATAATCATTTTCAAATCAATATATTAGTTAATGTTACAATTTTTAATTGATAAGCTGGTACTTCAGGTGCAAAATTGAATCGTATATCAAGCTAAATCCAACATTAGTTAATGTTACAACTTTTAACTGATATATATGCCGGTGTTGACCTCAAATCTCTATCTATCATTTTTTGCTCATAATAATTAATCTATTTCCAAGCCTTAAGTGTGATTATTATTTTTTAACTGGTGTTAACCTCAAATTTCTCTCTATCTTTATTTGCTCTTAATAATATATCTATTTTCAAGCATTAATCGTGATTAATATTTTTTGTGTAATTGAATTATGGCTTCACATATTTATTGATGGTTGACCGAGTAGCCGTTAGACTATCTCACACCATTTGTATTTGCTTGGATCTGCGTTGATGGTTCCATTCAAAAGTTATATTTAGAGTTCTTATATCGGTACACTTAATTTTTGAGTTCACTAAAACCAGATAAAAAAAGAAAAAAAAAAAGGAGTAATTAATTTTCATAATTGTACTCACTAGTATTAGTTTTCTTATTGTATGCTCGACTCAAGAATGCATTAAAACCTATTCATGAAGTTAATGATTTGAAAAATAATTGTCATTGTACGTGCGATTGGGGACTTCTATTTTTTTAACCACTTATATAAAGTTTATGTTAGACTTAGAGTAAAATATATTACAACGATAAAACGTACAAGACAAACATATTTTTAATGAAAGAAAGACGTCTTACTGAAAATAATAGGAAGTCACTCAAAATATTTGATTATTCCTATATATATTGATGTAGCAGCCATAATATCTCAGTGGGTCGATAATAGTGGCCAGCTCGGGTTAACCGGTCCAAGATAACTTCTAGCTCGGTAAAAAGGTTTGACCCCATCAAGGAGCTCGGTAATCGGTATAACAGCTCGAGGTATACGGATCGACTCTGGTTACAAGTTAGAAAGTTGGGCTCAGTCAAGAGCTCGATCAGAAGAAGGGTAGTAACTACAACATAACTGATATTTTGTAACAGTGAAAAAGTATTGCTTAATACCTAGAAAATGTTATCGTACATAATAGCCAATATTTCCACTGGCGTCGTATCTGATCGCGTGACCTATAGTCACATGTATCACTTTTGAAAGCTTTTTAAAAACATTTTTTTCAAGTGTAACGTTAGGATATCTATTGTAACAGTTTGACGTAACACTTTTCAAATGTTATATATAATGTTTATGTAACATATTTTTGTCCAATTGTAATATTTTTCTTAAATCAACTTTTCTTGTATGGTAAACACTGTGCACCATAATTGTGTCACGGTAGATCTTTTAACATAGCACTTTTTTAAAAAAAAAAAAAAAAAATGTTACTTTAGCTTAGTAAATGTGTTATAATTACCATATACATAGAGTAACATCTTATCTAATACTTGTATCACTTTAATTCATTTATTGTTTCACATTATTAAGATTTCTTATCACTTTAAGTTACTTCTCAATTAAAGTACTTATTAGGCTGGTTCTATGTATATATACATATACAAAATGTAATCTGGAATATTAAAAATAGACACTGCAATATAAAAGTAATAAAATATCGCTATATTTCAAAACAAAGAAAGATAAAGAGGCCAACATTCCAAAGTTAATGTAAAAAGAGGCTAAATCTACCTTCAAAGGTCCTTAATGTAACAAAGACGGAGAGTAACTAACAAAAGACACAAAGGCGAATAGTCAGTCTATTTCTTTTTCTCCTCCTTCTTCGCCTTCTTCATTCTCTATTCTCTCAGCATTTTCATGAATGGTTTTATCATAATTATTTGCTCCATCATCGTCAAAGCTGTCATCCTGAAAATGCATAATTTTAACACTCCAAAAGTCAACAAAATAACAATATTATCACTTCAAAAGCATGCAAAAATGACAAAAATAGGTTATTACTAGACGACCAAGATGACATTAGTTAAAAACTTACATTCACATCGCTCATTTGAAAAAATCAAATAAATGAGACTATTTATACTATGAGATTTCGGATGGAGCTTATATTGAAAGAAAAAAAATCGAAAGGCAATATAAAAATCAACAATTTAAACCATCAGAAGACATAGCAAATTATTTGTACTTTTGTTTTCAATCTATATCATCAAGTCACACTCATTATTTGTACTTTTATTTTCAAGAAATTCAAATCATCATAACACATTACAAAGCATTTCTAGATTTAACAAATTAAAGTTTCACATTCAAATATGGAAATATAGAATTACCTGACAATGTACAGTCCCTTTGATGCCTTCAAAAAATTGTGTTTTGAGTGATGAGGCTATAGTTGAAAGTATCTCAGAAGGAATTTGATCTTTCAACAGTTTCATAACTTCTGCTACTGTCTCTTTTAAAATCCTAGCTCTATACGGCTGCATAATTTCATCTGGAATCAGGACTCCACCACTACCACAATTAAGAGATTGTTTTCTTTTCTTGGTATATCTTCCCAAAAGTTCACTCTTCAATGAGCCTGGAACAGTTTCCTCCTATTTGGATACATATCAAATTGTATAAGAGAAACAATACACTTAAGTGTCTCATTTTGAATTATAAAACTAATCATCAGGAATAATAAAAAACACAAATAGACATCAAGAAAGCCTTTCTTAAATGAAAAAAAAAAAAAAAAAAAAATGTTACTTACATAAGATGACATATAAGTCTTTCCTTCTTTCCTTTTGCGAATTTCCTTGTACATGAGTGCTTGATCTGGTACTTTCTTTTCGGCATTTTCCTATAAAATAATTCAAAACAATAACTAAAATAACACATATCTCTTTATTCTTTTTACCATTATTCTGAAATGAATAAGAGATATGTAATTGTAACAAAACAATTACACATCTCTTATTTACATTACCATTATAAATTAAAAACAATGTCTCATAAAAGTAAAGATAATATATGCTCTTATAATTGTAAACTAGTACACTACAATTTACCAGCTCAAAACGCTTTCTTGCAAATGATATAGGATCCATCATAAACTAGTACACTACAATTTTCAGGTCGTGATCACGACCTGAAAATTGTGTAACAAATGCCGTATAACGACCTAGTAAGGAGTAGGATAGCGGAGTCGTGAGGCCAGTGTGTCAAACTAAGGACTTGCTGATAAAATGGTAAGTATATCTTTGGCTCCCTTCAAGAACTGGACTAACACTTTCTACGAAAAAAGCTAGAAAGAAAAGCTCGCTAAGGAATAGAGATGTCAAAGACTTGTCATACTAAGAAACGAAATATTGAGAGATCTTTTTCCTTGTAATGAGGTTATGTGGGTAAAAATACAACACGATCTTATAGAGGTTACCAAGTTCTTTACAATTTAACATGCAATTTATATTCATATCTCAGTTTAAGCTCACGAGCAAGATCTAACTTGAGTGTCGGAGGTTTTTCACCAAAACCTCTCCCCGCACATTTTTTTCAGGTCATTTGAGCTCATGTTGAGCAATGGCTCGTGTTATTTTTGGTCCAACCCTGGTCTGGCGACAATTTGCATATCATATATGATAAGGACACTATGTCTTGTTATTAGAGTGTTAAAAGAAACGAATCATTTGTGAATTTGATTTGGCTCGACTCATTTATTTAATAAGCTCGGCTCATTAAGACTAAAAAAATAAAGTTTTACGCAAATTTATAAATCAACTCGTTAAAACTCTAGATTTTACTTATTAGTATTTAAATTTGGCTCTGCTCGTTTACACCCGAGAACCAAAAAGAAACCAAAATACCCACAAGAACAACCTACGTCGGGGGCACCCACAATTCGTAATTTGTAGCCATGCTAACCTAAAGTGAGATAGCCCACAATTCATAATTTGGGCCTATATTAAATCGAAAACCCACAATAAAACATACTTGAGCCACCCCTGACCCGCCACCGACCCTCCATTAATTAGGCCGTAACGTGAGGGGAAAATCCCAAAAGGACAAGACAGAAAATTCACGAAAATTTGAACAAAATACCGCAGCGCTTCGTGCTTATTGCGAGATATCGAGCCCGTAGCAAAATCCAAACTTGAGAAAGCGTAGGGAATATTTATGTGGGGTCCAATAAAGATTTGGTGGGCTGGCTTAGATATTCCACCCGTGTTTCCCCATAAGTCTTGTCTTTCTTTTCCATTTTCCT